GGTTGAGCTATAGGCGCCGAGCCGCAAGAAAGAATCTTATTGTTCTTTGGAACTTTTCTCAACTCTGATACAATGCTTAATTAACAGTGTGTTCATAGTAATTTTAAAAGAAATTTATTTTAATCATTATTTGCACCTTGCAGTCTAGTAAAAAAAAAAAAATTTTTTTTTTTTTTTTTTTTTTTTTGAGACTTGTGTTTCACTCTGTTGCCCAGGTTAAGAGTGCTGTGGCATTGTTATTGCTCATAGCAACATCAGACTCCTGGGATCAAATGATCCTTTTGCCTCAGCCTTCCAAGTAGCTGGGACTATGGGCACCCACCACAATGGCTGGCTAGTTTTTCTATTTGTATTAGAGACAGAGTCTTGCTCTTGCTCAGGCTGGTCTTGAACTCTTGAGCAAAAGGGATCCTCTCATCTTGGCCTCCCAGAGAGCTAGGATTACAGATGTGAGCCTGACCAGTGCCAGTAAATTTGATTGACCATCCTCACTGCAGTCAGTTGTTCAGAGTTAATAGTGAAGGTTAAAGTTAACACACAAAACAAGATTTCCACTAAAATTGACCCCAAAGTAAAAAGTTTTAGTTTATAAGATCAAAAATAAAGTTGGTTGGGCTTTGTATATTAAAAACTAAGTATCCCAAAGGTTAAAACAAGAGATAATCTTAACAATGTTTGGAAATGGATGGTTAGGTGAAGATGCGGGGGACGGAATGAACTCATGGCAGTGACTATTCATTCTAACAATTTTTCCACTGTTAGGTTTCACTTCCTTTCTGCTTTTATAGAGTGCTGGACCACACTTATGTAAACTTCTTCCCTTTTGCCATAATTTGTTTGTGTTATCACTAACAACAAAGGCTAACAGGAACCACTCCCTCCACAGGGGCCTGGTGCTGAGAGTTGTTTGGAATACAACCCGTTTGGCCCAAGGGTGGCTTTAAAGATGAATGGCAGTAAAACATTTACAAATATTTTACATTCTAAAACTGCATTTACTTTGGAACTTTTGACTACTTTGTCTGTAAACTAATGTAGTATTTTTCTTTTCTCTCTCTTTCTCTCTCTCTCTTTTTCTTTTCTCCTTTTTTTTTTTTTTTTTTGAGACAGAGTCTTTCTCAGCTGCCCTGAGGTTGAGTCTGTGGCATCATAGCTCACAGCAACCTCAAAATCTTGGGTTCAAGTGATTCTCTTGCCTCAGATTCCCAAGTAACTGGGACTATAGGCACCTGCCATAACACCCAGCTATTTTTTCTTTTCTTTTTTTTTTTTTATAGAGACAGGGTCTCGCTCTTGCTCAGGCTGGTCTCAAATTCCTGAGTTTAGGCAATCCATCCACCTCAGCTTCCCAGAGTGCTAGGATTACAGGCGTGAGCTACTGTGTCCAGCCCAGACTTTCTCTTTCTTGATTTATATTTTCTTTTTTCTTTATTGGAACAAGGGAAATTATGCTTTCTCCAATCATAGCATTTTAAGATCTATTTCAGTCAGCGTTAGGCATTGTTTTTAGGCAGTCTTCTCTCCTTTTTTAAAAACTGTTTACCTGAAGTATATAATTTGTAATTTATTTCTATTGAAAATAAGTATGCCCTGTTTAGATCTTAGTATTTGATTTGTCTATTACTTATAAAATTCTTTCTTTTTTTTTTTTTTTGGCCAGGGCCGGGTTTGAACTCACCACCTCCAGTATACGGGGCCGGCGCCCTACTCCTTGAGACACAGGCGCTGTCCTAAAATTTTTTTTTTTTTTTGGTAGAGGCAGAGTCTCACTTCATTGCCCTCAGTAGAGTGCTGTGGTGTCACATAGCTCATAGCAACCTCCATCTCCTGGGCTTAGGTAATTTCTCTTGCCTCAGCCTCCCAAGTAGCTGGGACTGCAGGCACCCGCCACAACACTCAGCTATTTTTCTGTTGCAGTTTGGCTGGGGCCAGGTTCAAACCTGCCACGTTTGGTATATGGGGATGGCACCCTACTCACTGAGCCACAGGTACCACTCACTTATAAAACTCTTAAAGTATAATTCTGCGAATCTGTGAGGAGTTGGATTTTGAGTAGAAATCTTTTTCTTTTCTTTTTTTTTTTTTTGACAGAGTCTCTGTTGCTCAGGCTAGAGTGCTCTGGTGTCACCTGGCTCACAGCAACCTCAGGCTCCTGGGTTCAAGTGATCCTCCTATCTCAGCCTCCCAAATAGCTGGAACAAGAGGCATACACCAGAACACCCAGATAATTTTTCTTTTCTATTTTTAGTAGAGATGGGATCTCATTCTAGCTCAGGCTGATCTTGAACTCTTGAGCTCCAAGGACCTCCTGCCTGGGCCTCTCAGAGTTCTGGGATCACAGGCTTGAGCCACCACACCCGGCCAGAAATCTTTTTCTTAATATGATTGAAATAAAATTTTTTTTTCTTTTTAAAAAAATTGTTTAGGGGAAAAAATTGTTTTGGGGTTTGGTGCCCATAGCACAGTGGTTATGGCGCTGGCCACATATACCAAGGCTGGTGGGTTCGAACCTGACCTGGGTCTGCTAAACAACGACAGCTGCAACAAAAAATAGCTGAGTGTTGTGGTGGGCATCTGTAGTCCCAGCTACTTGGGAGGGTGAGGCAAGACAATTACTAAAGCCCAAGAGTTTGAGGTTGCTGTGAGCTGTGATGCCATGGTACTCTACTACCAAGGGCAACATAGTGAGACTCTGTCTCAAAATAAATAAATAAATAATAAATAATTGTTTGGGATTCATCAAGGGTGCAAAAAATTAGGTTATGCTGATTGCGTTTCTTAGATAAAGATCCTCTTATACTTGTGTCCTGCCCCCAAGAGTTGTGCCATACACCATGACCCCCTTCCCCCTCTGTCCTCCCCTCTCCTTGCTACTTCCTTCCCCTACCCCACCCCTTTTTAGCTCATCTACTGCCTTCATATTAGAACTGAGTACATTGGATTCTTCTCCAATTCTTGTGATGCTTTACTAAGAAGAATGTGTTCCACCTCCATCCAGGTAAATACAAAATATGTAGTCTCTATCTTTTTCTATGGCTGAATAGTAATTCATGGCATACATGTACCACAGCTTGTTAATACATTCTTGGGTTGTTTCCACATTTTGGCAATTGTAAATTGAGCTGCAATAAACAATCTGGTGCAAATGTCTTTGTGATGAAAGGATTTTTTTCTTCTGGGTAGATGCCTAGTAATGGGATTGCAGAATCTCATGGGAGGTCTAATTTGAGTTCTTTGAGGATTCTCCATACTTCTTCCAAAAAGGTTGTATTAGTTTGTAGTCCCACCAGCAGTGTAAAAGTGTTCCCTTCTCTCTACACCAATATCTGTAGCTTTGAAACTTTGTGATGTGGGCCATTTTCCCTGGGTTAGGTGATATCTCAGGCTAGTTTTGATTTGCATTTCTCTGATGATTAGGGACGAAGAGCAATTTTTCAAATGTTTCTTAGCCATTCGTCTGTCGTCTTTTTTTTTTTTTTTTTTTTTTTAGCCTCAAGCTGTCCCCCTGGGCAGAGTGCCGTGGCATTACAGC